CAAGGCAGAGACGGACACAGCAGTACAGAGCGGGCGGACACATCTTAAGAAAGAATTGAGAAGCCCTAACAGTAAACCTTTTAGGGAATTATTCTTCAAGTGCGAACATGATGCTGGTCATGCTGGTCAGTCAGCGAGGAGCTGACACGTGAGGACAAGAAATAAAAGCATGAGGAGCGAAGGATGCGACATGAAATTGATGTTTGGTGCCTGACGTATGCCCTCCGTCCCAACTGAACAGAGAGATCGCTGCCAGGGCGCCGAAATCCAATCCGGTCATTCATCCAACGCTTGCCCGAAAAGGAAAACAAAGCTGAGAGAGTTACACAGTGTGGCAGGAATGCAATCCCGGAGACAGTCACGCACCCCTTTCAAAGGAGCAAGAACCTTTCACAGGTGAACCTGTTCCAGCGGACAGGGCCGAAAACACCAGTGCAGGCACCAAGCCTGAAAGACAAAAAGAAAGAAATCACATGGGAGACAAATGAATAGCAACGCTACATGGCCAGCGGAAAAGGGCGGCAGCACCAGTGACAGACCCGGGAAACAAATGAATACAAATGCTGCATGGCCAGCGGAAAAGGGCGGACACCAGCAGTGACAGACCTCGAAAACAAATGAATAGAAATGTTGCATCGCCAGCGGAAAAGGGCGGACACCAGCAGTGACAGACCTGGGAGACAAATGAATAGAAATGCTGCATGGACAACGCCAGTGACAGACCTGTGGGAGACAAATGAATAGAAATGCTACATGGCCAGCGTCCAAGGACCGACACCACCAGTGACAGACCTGGGAGATGAATAGAAATGCTGGACACCAGCAGCGACAGACCTGGGAGACAAATGAATAGAAATGCTACATGGCCAACGGAAAAGGGCGGACACCTGCAGTGCAGGGCTGGGAGACAAACGAATAGAAATGCTACATGGCCAGCAGAAAAGGGCGGACACCAGCAGTGACAGACCTGGGAGACAAATGAATAGAAATGCTACATGGCTAGCGGAAAAGGGCGGACAGCAGCAGTGACAGATGTGGCAGACAAATGAATAGAAATGCTACATGGCGGAAAAGAGCAAACACCAGCAGTGACAAACCTGGGAGACAAATGAATAGAAATGTTGCATGGCCAGCCGAAAAGGGCGGACACCACCAATGACAGACCTGGGAGACAAATGAATACAAATGCTACATGGCGACTGGAAATGACAGACCTGGGAGACAAACGAATAGAAATGCTACATGGCCAACGGAAAAGGGCGGACACCACCAATGACAGACGTGGGAGACAAATGAATAGAAATGGTACTACATGGCCAGCGGAAAAGGGCGGACACCAGCAGTGCCAGACCTGGGAGACAAATGAACAGAATTCCTGCATGGCCAGCGGAAAAGGGCGGACACCACCAGTGACAGACCTGAGAGACAAGTGAATATAGATGTCACATCGCCAAAGGGGCGGACACCAGCAGTGACAGACCTGGGAGACAAATGAACAGAAATGCTACGCGACCAGCGGACACCAGCAAGTGACACAAAGGGCGGACACATCTTAAGAGAGAATTGAGAACCCTTGTGGTCGGGTTCCCAGCTGGCTTGTCTCCCACTTCCTTTCATTTGCCTCCCAGTTCTCTTCATTTGCCTCCCAGGCTGGGTGCTTGTGGTCAGGTTCCCGGCTGGCTTGTGTCCCACTTCCTTTCATTTGTTTCCCACTTCTTTTCATTTGTCTCCCACTTCCTTTCATTTGTCTCCCACTTCCTTTCATTTGTCTTCCACTTCTTTTCATTTGTCTCCCAGGCTGGGTGCTTGTGGTCGGGTTCCCGGCTGGCTTGTCTCCCACTTCCTTTCATTTGTCTCCCAGGCTCGGCGGCTTGAACTGTTTGGGGGAAAAACATGCTTTAATTTGTTGTTGCTACAATTAGTTCACTAAGTCACTCCCACCTCCAAATGATTTCCTAAGGTATGGTACATGGAAGCTTCCTTGAAGAAGCGCTCGCACTATTGATTTGGTTCCAAGATTTTTGGGAAAACTTAACTACTGGACAAAGCAATGTCCTCCCACCAACTTCTAGCTATATACTAGTAGTAATGCCCTTGTTAATGGCGCATGAGAAGCTGTACTTACTAAAGCCAGAGGGTATTTGACCTGCAGTGTCGTTCATTCAAGCTGGTCTCCTTGAATTTCTTCATGTTTTAATGTCCAATACCGAAATGCAAAACAATGTGCTGGTAGGTGACCCAGAGTGTTGAAGGTGCTCGAAGGAGCATCCTTTGGGGCTCCAAGAAAGTGAAAGGTCCCTTCACGCTCCTCTGGTGTGAAGCTGGCAACAGGCACTCGCAGGCAGCATGCAAATCCGTCTGCCCCACAGCTCCACGTCGATGTATTGTCCTTTGCTTTCTGAGTGGTTTTCCGTTCTTCAGGGATTTGGTCTCTCGTGGCATCTACTGTGTCTATCAATCTATGTAACTCTTATCATCGTTCGCTTGGGAAGAAACTTGGAAACTAGAAAGCCACGCATCTGTGTTTGATTAAGTCATGCAACTAAAAGGGTAGAAAAATAAAGGCCAACAAGCGGATAACATGGAAGCGTTGTAGCCTTGAAAAAAAAACACGCACACAGCTTTGCCAAGCAACAAAGAGGTCAGAAGAGTTGCACAAACCACCTGGTGACAGGATGTGAGTTCCACTTCAGTGACAAATGTTCCGGATATCTCTTGCATTCCATTCCCTTTAGACTCTTTGCGCTCAAGAGTAACCCTGTTGCCCTCAACTCCAGAACAATGGAGCTTCCAGTCAATGAAAGGTGGAGGCCAAGGTGGCCAGACGTTGCTTTTGATCAAAAGAGTTTTTCTACCATCATGCTGGTGAGGAAGTCGGGTCAGCTCTGCACCTTCGTCTGGGAGAGCCGCCAAGTAGAGATTGCTCTCGGAGATGAGGGCTGCTAGTTCATCCTGGAAAACCATTTCCGTGTCTCACCAAGAAAGACTGGTGCAACACTACTACTAAGGCCAGGAGCCCCTAGTAGCGTCTTTGCTCTTAGTAGTAAGGCCAGGAGCCCCTAGTAGCTTCTTGTTCCTAGTAGTAAGGCTAGGAGCCCCTAGTAGTTTCTTGTAGTAAGGCCAGGAGCCCCTAGTAGCGTCTTTGCTCCTAGCAGTAAGGCCAGGAGCCCCTAGTAGCGTCTTTGCTCCTAGCAGTAAGGCCAGGAGCCCCTAGTAGCGTCCTTGCTCCTAGTAGCGATGCCAGGAGCCCCTAGTAGCGTCTTTGCTCCTAGTAGTATGGCCAGGAGCCCCTAGTAGCTTCTTGGTCCCTGTAGTAGGGCCAGGAGCCCCTCGTAGCTTCTTGTTCCTAGTAGTAAGGTCAGGAGCCCCTAGTAGCGTCCTTGCTCCTAGTAGTAAGGCCAGGAGCCCCTAGTAGCGTCTTTGCTCCTAGTAGTAAGGCCAGGAGCCCCTAGTAGCGTGTTTGCTCGTAGTAGTAAGGCCAGGAGCCC